GATTTTGTTGTATGTGAATAATTCCATCGTATAGTGATTCTTAAGTAAACCAAATTGATTTCCTGCTAAAAATAAAATGAATTTCCTGCTAATCTGACAATATATACCTCTGTGGTGAAGTTTGTTTTGGTACCTACGGCTGTTTTAGGAGAGATTATATAATTATATTTATACGTTCAGTTTTATATTGTAATTTCATTTTTATCCACATCATAACCAATTATAGAGAAGTATATTTACCGTGTTCAGATAAATGAATAATCAATGCATATACATCTTATAGAAACATTTTTCCCGAGTGTTTATTCTAAAGTTTTGTTATACTTTATTCCGAGTCGCTATCAACAACTCTTAAAACTCTCTTCAAAGTACTGCGTACTTCACGATGTTCCGTGGGAGTTTCTCTCTTCCGTTGAGCACGTGTAATACGTCCTGAAAAATTAATACACCATAATTAATATATATATATATATATATATATACTTAATAATATATATATACTTAGATCAGGCATGGGCGAGTCATTTCGGCCGCGGACCACAAGCTCCACTACTACTACTACTACTACTACTACTACTACTACTACTACTACTACTACTACTACTACTACTACTACTACACACTGCTACTACTACTCTATCTATGCACATTACTACACATAACATGGATAGCCCCGCGTGAAGTACAAAAGAAACAATGCCATATCGTTTCTCGTGTCGCGTGAGTGTGCGAAGAACGCCCACGCCTGACTTAGATTATCGTTATATAAAATAAATAACATAAATTTCTCAACCTTCTGATATAATGTTGCTTGTATTCAACTCAGCAATATCTTTGAGTTTCTCATTCAATTCTTTAACCTTTTTGCACTTTTCTAGCGTTGGCTTACCGGTGACTCCATTTTTTTCTAGTAATTCCTGGAGACACCTTACCTTAGCAGCACCTGACTTACATCCAGCCCACACAGTGTTGTAAGATTTAACACGTATTCCTGCGGTTCTAATGTACTTTTTCAGCATTTCTATTCTTCTATCGCTTGATTTCAGCTTTTTCATGCTCGAAACTTGCTCTGTTTTCTGATCATCTATTGTATCAGAATTCTCTTCTTCTTCCTCCACTTTTTCATCTACTTGCTGATCCATTTTTTTAACTCTATCATGACTTCCTTTTGATTCAGACGATGACTTCCTTTTGTTTGCATGCGTTTTTTTAAGTTTCCTTTTAGTTCGAGGACTGTAATCTTCATCGGAAACGTCATCGTTTTCTTCAGAATTACCGTCTGTTGATTTACTTAAAGAAGTTCGAGCCTTCCTTTTGCCTTTCTTTATATTTTGTTTGGATTTCACTTCAGAAGTGTCTTGCGAATCTGATTTTTCTGCCTCGGAAGAACTAACGTCGAGCTCCGAATCGTTAGGCTTGGCCTTAACAATTATTGTCTTTGCTTTGGGTTTTTTTTCCATTTCATGTTCAGATTCAGAACTTGATGATTCTCTATCGCTCGCACATTCCACTGAAAGTTCTAATCCTTCTACCACTTCTGCATCGTCTATTTGTGATTTATCACGTTTCTTTTTTGGCTTAGTATTGTTTTCATCTTCCTTGGCTTCTTCATTTTTTGTATTTACTTCCTTTGTGTTGTTGTCATCTGTCTCAGATTCTACAGGAATATTATCCTTATGTATGAAACAAAGGAAAAGTATTATAAAATGCGATATATAAAATTAAGATATCTGTTAAATGCCTAATTTCTTACCTTGTATTTGCTATCAGTTGAGTTCTTAGTATCGGTTTCTCTTACGTTATCGATAGTATAGATTTCTTTTTCATTTTCAGATTTTGTGTCAAGATTTTTGTGCGAATCTCTATTTATATCTTTTTCTTTTGCGTCTGCACATCTTACATCTTCATTGCTAGAAATATTTGTGTCTTTTGTATCTTCTCTATTGACAAAAATATTTGTATCTTTTATACTTCCTACAGAAATGCTTTTATCTTTTGCATCTTCTTCATTATTTGCAACGCTGCCATTTATTTCTGATTTATATTCAGATTTGTTTTCTTCGAGTGTGATTTTATCATTGGAAGTACATAACTTTTTGGGAGACGAATGTGCTTTATCATCCTCTACACTTTCTTCGCGTGGTCTCTTTTTTGTATGCTCATTCATATCCAAAGAATCATTAAGACTGTCTTTATCACTTTGGTCAGATTCGATCATTTTTTACAGATTTATCT